GAGATTCCTACGGGCTTTGTTTTGGGCAATCTTAGAGACCCGGGGGTAGATGTCAAGCGGGTAGCTGGAAGGGAGAGGAAAATAACCGGCGGCATCCAGCCGGTTCACCCATCCCTCGTACGACTCGCTGTCAGGGTCATAGGGAGCCGGTTCGTCGTCAACCGGTTCATCCCTCTCCTGAGAAACCTGACCGGGCGTCTGGTTAACAGGTTGCGGTTCAGGGACGGTGGCGTTGGGGCCTGACCGGGTCTCGAAACTGGACAAAGAGGACCCGGTCGAAGAAGAGGAGGTTGAAGATTCCTCGGATGCGCAGGCATCCGAGGAAGAAATACCTTGACTATCAGAGGAAGACATCTACCGGGAGGAAAAATGAAGAAAGAAAGCTAATAAATGATAGGAAGAAAGCTTACTTGACTCGGAGGGCTAGGAGGCTAGAACAGAGAGAAGTTGACCGGTGAAACTCGAGAGACGCGCGAGGAAGAAGTGAGGAAGGCAGTGGGGATGGAAGCCTTTATATAGGCGAGGAGGAAGGAGAGGGAGGCGACGTGGCTTCCCCAGGGCACGCCGCGTCAGGCGGTGCCATCATTGCGCATGGGAAGGCGAAAGGGCGCAGGTCTGGCGTTGTACAGCGGGCCACACGTGTCATAGCTGACACTTTGAGTTTTGAAATTCAAAAATTTCGAGCGGGAAAAGCCAGAAATTTGAATTTAAAGGTCGAGTTTTAAATTTTTACTTCCCGCTTATGACAAAATTGCATCACCGAGAAGTGGAGGGCTTATTGATGGGTGTATTTCACCCACGACCAGTCAAAGGTCAGGACCGGATAGTTGATCGGTCAAAGAAGTCAAACTTTGAAGAGAGATCTGAATGGACCACCGAGTGGCCAAAAAGTGGACCGGTACACTTCGGAAAGTATACCGGTCAGCTTATTCCATCAGCAGGAACCGATTCCGAAGACAATTAATCCAAGCCTTTAGAAATCAACCGGTACAACTTTTAGAGATCGAGCAGTGTCGGCAGGAGGAGTCCAAAAGGACTTGGACTTTAGTGGTTGGAATTGCAGAGATCCTGGAAGAATATTTCCAAGCCAGAACGTGACAAAGAGGGAAATCCCCTTCGCAAGATGACAAGGCGGCTCAGGGACAGTCATCTCGCACCACGTCGGCAACGTGCCCCCACGTGGGCGCACGTGGACCTGTCCCCCAGCTTAGTATATATACCCCTTGTAAACCTCAGAATGGGGATCCGAATTCATTCTCTCTAAACTCCCTTGTAAAAGCACCCGTGCATTCTCCGTTATAATATAAACTGGGCTACGGGTGTTCCACCTAAAGTCCTACCGGTCAATCTACGTGTTTTTTACTTTTCTTACTTTGCCAAATCAAGCAAACTATTCTAGACCCGGTCTAGTATAGTTTGACCGGTCAAGTAATTTACACGATCATTGGTGTAAAACTAATTTTTGTCAACGCACCAACATTTGTGTCCGTGTAAATTTTTGTTAACGCACCAACACTTGTGTCGGTGTAAACTATCAAAATGTTCGTGCAAAACTATGGTATACAGGTGGGAGTACATTTTTTGGTGTAAGTGTAGGGATGGTCCAAATCTTTTGAGTCTCAATCCTATGGATCTCCGGAGCAGCGATGCGTCGTGGGAAGAGCGGGGATGTATGAGTGTGTGCGCACAACAACTCAACAAGAGCCAGCGCAGCTGGGTCACGTCCGCACAACACATTTACTACGATACGTGGCCAACTGCCTTACCAAATACTCTATGTACTCATTTCCAACACTCTTTTGCCCGACCGAAAAAAAATCCTCCCATCCCCACCTGCCTTCTCATTTCCCCCCCTTTATTCAATTGCTCTCTCTCTCTCTCTCTCTCTCTCTCACAAGTCATAACTGCAACTCTGCAAGCACCCCACACCACGCATTTCTCGCCTTCTCGGAGTAGATATTTTTACATAGGTTTCGTCGGCGGTAGAAGATGAAGATTCAGTGCAACGTGTGTGAGGTTGCGGAGGCGAACGTTCTGTGCTGCGCCGACGAGGCCGCCCTCTGCTGGTCCTGCGACCAGAAGGTTCACGCTGCCAATAAGCTGGCCTCTAAGCACCAGAGGGTTCTTCTCTCGGACTCCCCTTCTTCGATGCCCAAGTGCGACATCTGCCAGGTACTCATGCAATTTTCTCCCAGTTTTAATTATACTTTCATGAATCCCAACTTTTATTCATTTATTTATTTATGGAAGTAGTTCCTTTAGTGTAGCCCTACTCATCTTGGAATTTCATTAATTTTGGCTTAACTGAGAGATAATGATAGCATCAGTTTTACTTTTGTGGAAGCAATTGTAGTTTCTAAATTTCATTTGTTCATTATAATCGATGATTTAGTTGAAGATAAATGTCGGCAATGCTTAAAAAAGTACCATCTGCACTAGTATGTTTTGATCCTTGAAAAAAGCCAACAGCCTGTAAAACAAGATCTGCTGCTTCTTGATACAGAAGAATTAAACTAGGGGGTAGGAAAGTGTTTCAGCACACCTTCAGTCTGCCTCAGAGATAACAACACATAAATGATTTCGATTTGGACTTAATGTTTCCCCACAAGTAAGTGTGGAGGGTTCAATATATCCCCGCCAGCCATTCAGCCAATAGAGGGTCGAGAAGAAATCATCTGTACATATATTCCGTTGATTTATCTCCGGGCATGATGGAAGGAAATCAAAGAAGAATCATTTTTCCCTTTTCCAGTTTCCACACTCCATCTCCACAAAACAAGGATGAGACCAACTCCATTGAGTCACGGGAAGTATAAATTATATGAGCCCAGTACTAATATATATTGGTACTAGTATTACTTTTCTATTATTATCATTATTATGGTTATTATTATTATTATTATTATGGAGTATTATTGTTAAATTTTCATGGAAACACTCTCTTTGGGTAGTGGTAAGTGTGCCCACTGCCAACATCTCACCATCCCTAGATCCTACTTCTGAGTGTGATACTATGGCTTGGTTTGATTTGTTTTCTGTTAGTTGTTTTATTAAAATTTTTATTAGCACTATTATAATCAATACATTTAGGGCTCTTTTTACTTGTTAACTATGATAGATTTGTGAGGAGTAAAACTAGGGGGTTAACTTCATTATTAATTTCATATACAAGGTCATGTCTCCAAAGTTCCTGTCAAGGATGAAACTTTTTCCTCTGTCCAAATTTCAACCATACTCCTACCATAGTCCTTAAGAAGGCAGGGAAGGATGTTGGCAGGCTATTGAACTTCATCTTAGTAGGACATTTTTCATTTTCTAAAAGCCAACCTGTCATCACATCCTCTTCAGATGACATTTATCCCCATTACGGATCCAAATCCTTTTGTTCAAACACTTGCTTTTGGTGCATAATTTCAGAACATATTGTTTCCTAATTGGAATGAAATCCTTAGGTTTGTCAAATTTCTTAAAATAGCCTTCCAGTAAGCACATTTCTTGAAGTAACCCTACGGTAGTCTAGAACTCCCTGCAATGGCGCATTGCTTGACAAGAACCCTTGAAGTAACCCTAAGGTAGTCTAGAACACCCCGCAATGGCGCATTTCTTGACAAGAACCCAAACTCTAAAAATGCATGATTGTTATATATGAGTGTGTCTCATGAAGTAATGAGTGATTATGGATTTGCTAACTATACCAACGTGTAGTCGATCCTTTCCTCCCCATCAAGGAGTATTTTAGTCAACTTCACGGGTTCTTTAAGAAACATGCATGAGAGGTAGTCATTTTAAGAAATACCCCAAAACCTAAGGGTTAGGTCTGATATTCCTGAGTCAGCAAGTCTTGACTCTTGTAGCCTACTTTAGGCTAATTTTAAGAAGCATTCAAATGAAAGAACAAGAAAATTCTTCAGAAACTTAATTGTTTGGGTGTTTGTTTCTAGCAAAACAATTATAAAATATAAAGAAAAGTTTGTTAGGTGGTAAAACTTTGCAACACAAGAAATGTCCTTATCCAAATAAAAACCATTAAGTTATAGCTTCTTGATTTTGAGGTCTTGAGTATTATTTAAATGCTCTTTACACATTTAATTTCAACAGAATTTACTTAAAAATAGCCTTTAAAGGTCAAAATACTCCCAAAATACTAAACCAAACATCTCTAAATTGGTGGAACATCATACATGTCTTGCATTTTTATTTGAAGATATATGAATTTAGATATGAATAGAACTAAAACAACCAAAAGTAAATCCATGTAGATGCATATTCCTAAGAGCAAGCCTTTGTGTGTTAAAATGTCAATACATTGGTTTAAATTTGTACTGTAGTGGGAAATGTCTAATAAATAATCTTAATAAGGAAATGAAATTATCAGGATCCTCATATCAAGGTCATTTTTCTAAACAGCCTCTTTCTCTTTTCTAGGTAGGGATTAGGTCCATGTACATCCACCCTCCAAGAATCCTACTCGTGGGATTTTACTCAGTACGTTGATGTTTTTGATTTGTTACTAATCAGGGTTAAATGTGAATAACTATGTTGCATGGACACAAATGCCATAAACGATAAAAGAAATTTTGACTCTTGAGATTTGAGAAGCACCATCATAGACCAGAAAATAGTCGGGGTGGAATCCATTCAGTTATCTCAATGTCTCTGAAATTTTGCATCCCGTGATTTTATGTGGAATCTCTGAGTTCTATTTAAATATTCAAAGTCAAGTCCTTTCAGTTGACCTAGTGATTATGCAACATACCATTCTTTGATTACTGTAATAGTCAAGGATCCACCATCGGCGTATGGTGGATAAGGTTTGGTAGCATGCCTGAAATGTCGACCCATCCTGTCTCATAATACTTTTACAGCGCCAGAATAATACTGGAGTTCTGGAATGGCTTAGCTCTAGTAGGTGTGTTTTTTGAGTTTCAATGAAAAAGATATACAGGCTACTATTTTTTTGCGTTGGGGTACAATGGAATAAAACACAATGGCTCTTTATACTATCTGTGCTTCTTTTAGTGTGCTTCTTTCAATAGTGTAGTAGTTAGTCAATGCAACTTTCAACCCTCATCATGGGTCATCTATAAACATAGAAATGCTGCACTTTTGACTTCTGAGATGACAATTTTACTCTTGTTTTCACCGGCATTGTCTGGAAAGCATATAAATGCTGCACTCATCTTGAAAATTTCAGTTTGTGTATTGTTTGAAATAAGTCCGTTTTCTGACTTTATCTGTCTTTGGAAAAGGCTTGCAATAAAGGCTGTTTGAGAAAAGTTGACTTATATTGTTTAACTTGATTTTTCAAGTGTGCCTTTTTTTAATATTCCAACGTACTTTGTGCACAAAGTAGTACTCCATAATATTTGGGAATGTCTACAAACTGCAAGTAGATATTGATATCCAAAAAATGTAGAAAGTTTTATTATAAGTCATAACAGGCTCGAGCCCTAAGTGCTTATGATAGATTGTTGTTTCTGTAGGAAACCGTGGGCTTCTTTTTCTGCCTTGAGGATCGGGCTTTGCTCTGCAGGAAGTGTGATGTTGCGATTCATACAGTCAACACACATGTCTCAGCTCACCAGAGATTCCTTCTTACTGGGGTGAAAGTTGGACTTGAACATACTGAACCCGGTCCATCTTCATCCTCAGGAAAGTCACAGTCCGGGGAGAAAATCTCTGAGCAGGAGTTTCAATCTGTTTCTATGAGAAATGCCTCTGTGGCATTCCAACATGAAGCATTACCTATGCAAACAACTGTGGCTGGGAATTTTGGACCTCCTAAACGACACTTTTCTGGTGGCTCTGTAGTCGGAAGTATTCCTCAGTGGCACCTGGATGAATTTATTGGATTAAATGAGTTCAGTCATAATTATGGCTACATGGACAATAACTCATCCAAGGTACTTCTCTAATTTTGATTTTGCTACGCCATATATCTACCTTCCTATTTCTAACTTCAAATTCCATATACTTGTATCAAATTGGTTTGTACAATTTATCTACCTTCAGTAGGTTCCATATACTGTTAGTTAAGTGGATTGTCCCATATCAAATTGGTTTGTTACACTTCTCCCAGGACAGAAGTGGAAACTCAACCTGCTATGCTCAATTATCATACACGGAGTACATTACAAAAAATGTAGGCCCATTTCATCTGGTAGATGGGCTCAACTAATTTTTTTTTTTTGGCTCAACTAATTGATAACAATATGGTGATGACATGACATTTCTTAATTTACAATACAAGATTTTCGCTACTCCGTAATCCGTCCATCCCACTACTCTTGGAATACGGGATTTAAAACTCTAAATAAGAGATGGAATAATATGGTTTATATTTTAGTTTGAAAGTAAGAAAACCTAAGAATAAATGTGAGTTACACAAATATTATCAAATTGGCTTGTCACACTTCTAAATGACAGGAGTGGAAACTCGACCTGCTCTGCTCAATTATTATACACGGATTACATAAGAAAAGAATGTAGGCTCGTTTCATCTGATAGATGGTCACGACTATTTGATAACCATATGATGGGGCTATATGACATTTCTAAATTTACAATACGAGATATTTTTAACTATCTCAGTCCCACTACTTTTGGAAAAGGAGAATTTGGCACACAAATTAAGAAAAGTGGAATAGTATAGCTTATATTGAAGTTGAAAAGTAAGAAAAACTAAGAATGAATGGGAGCCACACAAGTGTTATTAAATGCGTATGATATAAGACAAATAGCGGGAATAGTAAAATAGGTAAAAAAGGGGCAAAACATTGGGGTGCATGGAGTATTTAATAACCTTAAATTGTTCTCTCTCCGTCCGGATATAGTTGTCCACTTTCTTTTATGGGCCGCTTGGTATTAATTGCCTACTTTCTATATATAGTAAACAAATTATTGGAAATTATCATAAATAACCCCTAAATGGCATGTTATCATTGTTCCACCGATAAAGATAAGTTAATTTGAAAGATTTTTTTTCTTCATGATTTAACATTCATTCCTTAAATTTGAGGTGTTTAGGAAAGGGGACAACTAAATACTCAAAGAAGTAGTTAACATTTTTCAATATGATATCTGGGACTTAACATTCTTCATTTGGTAGTCAATAACAAAGAAATATGCTGATTAGCTTGTTTTGGAAAAATCCAATCAGGCGGACAGTGGGAAGCTTGGAGACCTTGGTGGCTCCCCCTCTACTTCTAGTTTCAGGATCAATGAGGAAGAGCTATGTGGCGATGAGGTGTTGGGTCAGTTCATTGAGGCATCTTGGGCAGTTCCACAAATTCCTTCTCCTCCAACAGCCTCGGGGCTATATTGGCCTAAGAGCAACCAAAACCCATTTGATTCTGCAGCCTTTGTTCCCGACATATCTGACTCTCCCTCCCACGAATTTGGAACAGAGCAGTCAAACTGTAGTAGAACAAAACGGAGAAGACACTACTAATGTATTCCTATTACAACAGAATTTTGACTCCCCACTGTATGCAGGAAGATTTCCCACACATGTTTTTTCTCTAAAATGCAGCATTTCGCCTAAAATAATCCTCTTTTCAAGTTCCACGAGGAAGATTATATACAGTGTGTTCCTGCTGCGTTGAAAGACCGGAGGACTGGTTGAACTAGAAGCAATGTGTGTTCCAAGTCATCGGGAACTGAATCTCTGTTGCGGAAAAAGTACAAGTATTCTACAGATAATGTGGTTTTCTCTTTGTGTCTCAGACTGTCGGTAAGACTTCCTCAAAAGAACTAAAAACAGGAAAACAAAACCTAAAAGGATTTGCTATCGGTTGTGCCCCATTTTGGCTCTAGTGCTCAATTTCAAATGGTCAATTTATTGTGTAGGAACCCCCCCCCTGTGTGCAATCAGCTATGATACATCTGATTGACATATTATCATAAACATTGTAGATTCTCATTTTCAATGCACTGCTATATGCGATTCAATTTGTATGCAATTAAATATTGTTATGGTTCTTTTGACACTACCCTTTGGCGTCATAAGGCCATTTGGAAGGACGATTTTTTACACTATCTTTCGGTGTAATACGATCATTTGAAGGCCTATGGTGCTTTGTTGGGCACCAAACCAAGTCCTACTGCCCCCAGTCCTACAGATTTTAGTTGGGTGATCTGAGATCGGAGGGACAGAGCAAGATTTGCCCCCTAAATTGATTTTTTGATCAGGATGTTCATCCCTACAATCTCTTTAACTTGTTTAGTAGGGGCCATATCTTGGGCCGACCTTCTACTTTGATCAAGGCAGAGTTGACATTGTAAATGTTTAGATTCTGGAATTCCATCTTTTTTATCAGCTTGACATAGCAAGAGCGGGTGAGCTTCTGATATCCATTGATACCTCGATGGGGTCACCGGATATTTGGGAGGTCCTTTGGTCCGAAGAGAATGGGCTCCGAAGCTCTTTCTCGCGCGCCATTCTTTTGCTTTGCTGCCGGTCCCCATCATCACACATCACAAGACCACCGTCGTTCTTGAGTCACTGCTACAAATCGCTCATCCACCATCGATTTCTGTACGTCCCCACTCCTCGTCGCACATGCGTTGATTGGAAAAATGGAATTCAAATTACACAACCGTTGTCTTGCCCATTTTCTTTCTAGTTTGAGGATCCTCGCTGAAATGTACCCAAACATCTAAAAGTCCTTTTTGAGTTGAAAGTACTTTCTAGAAAATAATTCATTTTCCAAAAGTCATTTTTTCAGAAATCATTTTCCTTCTTTCCCAATTGACCTGTACTGACATTAAAATCAAAACATAACTCGATATATTTTGTCTACAAACCATGGTTAAAGTTTATAAACCTGGATTACAAAAATCAAACTCCTAATTACTTCATTTTGAAAAGGGATAACTTTTTATTATGCGCCATAACATTATCAACATCACAAACCAATCCAATCACTTAAAATGTACAGTGCTCTGCCTTTAACCTATTACGGAGTATTATCTATATACAGCTAATTACAATAATAAATTTGATTGATTCACACACTCGTTAATGTAAAAGTTGGGAACAAACCAAAAAAAAAACAAAGTTGCTCAGGTCCCTTTGCCCATGGAGAACAAAAAGCCAACCGCGGGAACTCTGTTTCTCAAGATTTTCAATACATCTGTTGCAGATGGCCTCGATGTTGGCGAATCAACGAGGCACGAAGCTGCAATGGAAGCCACCGCCATGGCTTCTTCCAACTCATATTCCCCGTCCCCCAGCCGGGGATCCACCATTTTTGCAACCTCAGATTCATCCTCCCAAACCCGACTTGATTTCAAAGAGGAAATAGCTTCCGAACCCGTGATCAGTTCCAGAAGGATGACCCCGAAGCTGTACATGTCGCTCTTTTTTGTCGCGATTCCGGTCCTTAGGTAGTGAGGATCGGTATATCCCGGAGAGCCGATCATTTTCCTACGAGACACAACTAGGTCAGAAGAAAACCCAGTTTTTGCTGACCCGAAATCGCAAAGCTTGCAATTGAACTGTGAATCCAACAAGACGTTGGAGGACTTTACGTCGCCGTGGACAATATGGGGATCACACTTCTCATGAAGGTACTCCAGAGCCTCAGCAAGCTGATAAGCAATTCCAACTCTGTTCTTCCACGAAAGAACAGAGCTGGATAGGTTTTCCCAAAGCGTCCCGTTCGGGACGTAGGGGAGAACGAGAGCCCCCACCCCGCCTTCGTCGTAGTACCCTAGTACTCCGACGATGTGGTCGTGTTGTATCCTCTGAAGGATTTGGAGTTCTTGGTTGAAAATTGAGCACATGCGGGTGCTGGTTCCGCAGTCGACGGTCTTGATTGCTACCGGGTGGACCGAACCGGGGAACGCGGTCCCGAGATAGACGGTGCTGAACCCGCCGTAGGCAATGACTCGGGACCTGGAGAAGTTCATGGTGAGCTCGGAAAGTTGGTGTCCGGTTAGCCTCATTGGCCCGGATTCCCCCCCAACCCTGACCGGCTTTCTCCTCCATTTCAGCCTCAAGCACTGGAAATAATTAGGCATAATGATGAGCGGAGGGGGAGAGAATCCAGAGATTGGAAGCCGGAGAAGGAAGGAATAATAATATATATTACGGAGTACTCGCGAGAGGAAATGGAGAAAGAGACAAAGGAACCAAAATGAAAGCTCCACCGACAAAGTATACTATTCCTTACATGCTCACCTCGTGTGGATTTTGACATCTTTCTCTTTTTTTCAAATCCATTACTTTGACCGGATTTTCCATGCTTCATTTTTTTATTCTTTTTTTGCCCCTCTTTGAAATATTTTGAATATTGTTATTTTATTTAAGTTTTTATATTTCAATTCTAAAATTTTGATGGGGGCAATGCTAGCTAGGGATATACACTTATGGGGTATCCTATTTGAATACCAAGCTAATACACACAGAGACATATAATGTGTGTGCTTGCACAGACAATATGTGTTTGTGTGTGTCTATGTTAGTTTAGTGTACAAATGAGGTATCTCGTGTCACTCCTAAATTAATTCAATTTTGATTCATTGTATTTCAAATCAGAAAGGATAATGAATGGATTTGTAATTGAACTTTATTGTGGAAGAATTCGACACGTATCTAAATTTATTTTTTTGAATTCCAAATATGTAGCTTAATGCTCTGTTTGATATAGAGAATTGGAATTAAAACTTTATAAAATTAAATTACATGGAATTGAATTCTATTTTAATTCCAATTTTTTATTTGTATAATTAAAGAATTGATATAGAACTCTATTACAATTTCAAGTTCTTTAGTTGGTAACACAAAATTGTATATAAAATTGATATGGAATTGTATAAATGATTCTAAATTCATATCCACATATTTTTATGCTTACAAACCCACATATTTTGAAATTGATATGAAAATTTTGGAATAGAATTCAATTCCAAATGCACATATTTTTGTGTTATCAAACAACATAATTGGAATTGAAGCCCTCAATTTTATTTCCATGACCTATATTTCGTCAACTAAACACGGTCTAAGAGTCCGTTTGGTTGGGAGGGAGGGAGGGAGGGGAAGGAAAGGATTAGAATTTAGATGGAATGAGAATGAATGGAAGGTTCCCTTAATCTTGTTTGGTTGGAGGAGGGGAGGAAAGTTTTAATTACAATTTTCATTAATATTTATTTCAATTAGTACCAATTTTTTTTATTCTAACTCTTAATTTTTTTATTTTATCTACTTATATTTTTTATTATTATTAATTTATTTTTATATAAATTTTTATTATTTATTCATAATTTTAAATTTATTATTTATTTTTTATTGATACTATATTAATTATTATTTACAAATATTTTTTTTATTTATGTTTATTTATTTATTATTTTTAAAATTTTTAGTTTTTAGTTCTATTTTTTAGTTTTTTAACTATTGGATTATTATTATTATTTATATTATTATTTTTATTAATTAATTCATCATTATAGTTATTATAAGAATTACTATTGTTATATTTTTTTTCCTTTTATCATGTGCTCCGTATTTTTTTATTTAACTTTTTTTTGTTTTTTTGTTTACTAAGTATTTAATTACTATTATTATTTATATTTTTTTATTTTGTTGTTATCTTTATTAATATTTTTTAATGACAATGGTAAGAAAAAATGGAAAGAAGATAGAATTCTTTAAATTTAAATTTAGAGGGGAGAGGAAGGAATTGAAGCTAAAACTTCGGATCTCCTCTTTCTTATTTTTAGACCAAATAAGAGAGGGATTAGTTTCCTCCCTCCCTTGCCCTCTAACCGAATATGCCCCAATTAAAATGATTGAAATACAAATTTAAATTTTAAAAGAGGTCAATTTGTGATCTATAGTTTTTCTTCCATAAAATCTTTCAATTTTCAGTCTATATTCATATGTCACTTGGAAAGTCTCAATACGACAGAAGAAATATACACATCATGCATTCATGTATTCTCATTCCCACCTACCCCAATATGAATAAATTTCATTATTTTTTTTTTTGTTTTAAGTTTCTCGCATTGCGAGAAAAATAATATGTACAAGTTTGATTGATTATTGTTGAGAATAAATCCGGCCCACCGAAGAATCCGATCCAAAATGTCAGATTTGAATTATGAAATAGAAGAAAAAAAAGAATGAATCGAAAACAAAGTTTGAGGAGACGACAATGGAACAAGATTTATTCATTCTTAAAAACTTCTTCAAAATTTTAAGATTATGTTCTTTTTGAATTCTATTTTGCAAGTCTTATGATCTATTTGGTTCAAAGAAAAACACTTTTTAGAAAATTTTAGTTCTACTTTCCAATGTTATATTGCATAAGTGCTAGAAAATCATTTCTTTGAAATATTATTTTCTCAAAGAGATTATATAGTATTTTCTCAAGTTCATCCCTTCTCCCACACCCCCATCATCTCATCCCGCCCCCGCCACCCCCTCCCCTCGGTGCCCCAGAGAATGGAGCACTATAAAAAGATTTATAACTGATCATGTATAAAAAATAAATTATGTTCCCCTAAAATATTTCAAAATATCTTGGTTTTTAATCAAATATCAACAAAGTTTCAATAAAATATGTGGGATAGAATGATTTTTTGTAAAAATTATTTTCTCCTAGAATAATTATCTAGACACATAATTTTTCCCACAACTAAATGCACCATTAACTTTCAATATTTTCCATTTTTTGTTAAATTTTAACTTCTCTTAGTTTATTTCAACTCTTTCTAATTTCTTTCAGTTTAATTCTTCCAACATTTTAAAAATTGTTTCCACTCTTTTAGTTTCATCTAACTTCTTCTAATTCTTTCGTGAAGTGATTTAAAAATTATTTTCTTGTATTATTATTATTATTATTACAACTATAATTGGAACGACATTCGAGACCCACTTGCTCCGAATGAGGGTTTACCGGGGTGTCAAGGGTAGGAACCATTAATTTTGTGAACGGTGCACCGTAGATACTTTAATTGAAGCTAGTATCATCTGGAACCACTTAAGGTGAGTAGATGTAGAACCTCTCTCTATTATTATTATTATTATTATTATTATTATTATTATTATTATTATTATTATTATTATTATTATTATTATTATTATTATTATTATTATTATTATTATTATTATTATTATACGAAATCAATAAATATTTTAGATGCAAATGCATATACACCAAATAAACAATAACACTTTTCATCCAAATTTATAAACACAAAAAATTTAACTTTAAATGGAGGAAGTATATATATATTTTTAAAAATTCCGGTTTTTTTTATTTCAAATGCAAACGAATTTGAATTTTAAAACATTATAAAGGATAATTATATATGAAAAAAACTAAAAAAGATAATATGCACCAATGCTCATTAGCTAATGTGGATTGGAATGTGTATCCGTGCCCCTTTTTAATGAAAAATGAATGGAAAATAGTACGAACAGATGTGGACGGTGCGTGTGCAACCTTTTGAAATGATAGACATGTTTTAAATAAATTTTGAAAACAAATGAGATCTTCATACCTATTCTTTAAACCATCAAGAGTGATGAAACTATTTCAATATGTTCTATTAAAAAATATATGTTGTCATTCGATACTTGAATATCTAAATATATGAATATCAAGATTATATTTTTTTTCAATTATCTATTTTTAAATATTTTCTCTATGAAAATTATGTTCTAATAAATAAAAATAAAGGCTCAAAAAGTCCTACTAATAAATAAAATGAAAAAAAATACATTTTAAAATTTATATTTCCTTTATGAAAGTACTCTCATTTAAAAACAAAAGTTTATCATTTATAAACACTTTTTATATCATAAATAAATACTATTAAAGACTATCAATACCGTGAAGCGAATATATATATATATATATATATATATATATATATATATATATATATATATATATATATATATATATATATATATATATAGTTTGGTTCTGGTGAGAATGAAATCTAATGAAAGAAATAAGAATGACTCTAGGCCGTTTGATTTGATCCTCCATGCGCTGACTTGTGCGACCTACTCATGGGCTTTTTGGGATTTACACAATATATAAATAAATAATTTTAAAAATTATCAATATTGTGATGTAAATACATATAATATCTTAAATAAAATTTAAATCTTTATAGATTTTTTATGCTCCCTATTATATATTTAAGGAAATTTTAATTATTTAAAAAGTTATTGAATACCTTAAACCACAAAGTTTTCATATTAAAAATTATCTAATATACATAAACCCATAATGCACTAAATTTATTATATTTGTTAAATTTCTCATCTTTTAGCTCAATAAATTTTCATACAAAAATTATCTAATATACATAAACCCATAATGCACTCCAGAGTATATTTTAGCTCAATAAATTTTCATACAAAAGAATAAATTAATAATTTTTAAAAAGCTATATTTTACTCAAAAATTACATTTATTTCATTTAGGCCCCGTTGGTACACAGAATTCAAACTATGGAATTGGAATTGAGGACTTCAATTCCAATTCTGGTGTTTGGTAGCACAAAAATTATGTAGATTTGAAATTGATAATGCAAAAAATGAATTGGAATTAATGAATTCAGTTCCATGGAATTGAATCCCATGGAATTTAAATTTTAATTTAATTCCAATTCCATCAATTCTATATACAAAACGGACCCTTACATAATTTTTAATAAATTAAAAAGTTCATATTTTTAAATATAAAATATATTGTTTTAAACTCATCATATTTCAAAGGTAATCATAAATAAATTTCCATAAATGATGAATGAGAATTTAAAGCATGTCATGTAATTTATTCATGTGCAATGTTATTTAAAAATTGCCACGTAAGATGACACATGTCAACTTCTTGGAGACATGAGTCTCAAACATTATAGTAAAAGATTTCTTGGCGCTGACATGTTAAAGTTTTGCGAAATAGACACGCCAAATGTCGAATTCTTATGAATCGGAGTCTCCTTTATTATAGTAAAGGATTACGTGGCTCGCTGACATGTTCATTTTTTTGCCAAATAGGCATGCCAAATGTCGCATTCTCATGAATCCGAGTCTCCTTTATCATATTAAAGGATTTCTATGGTGTATTATGTTGAGTTGAATGCTCTATGTAATCCATAGCCTTGTTGGGGTGATCCTTTGGACTTGATGGATATACAAATTAATTTGTGAGGGTGAGTATTTTTATACTCTTAATGATTTCACAGCTGGTTTGTAGTTCTACGTTGAGGTACACTTGATGAAGTTACCTACGTAAATGTGATGACATGGCAATTTTCTATGGAAAACTATGGTTGTTTTTCTAGAGCACTAATAAGCATCCTAGGATTTACTGTGAATCTTGAGTAGTGTCTATCGTGAAACTCGTACATGGAGATAGGCGAGATAAGTGTCATTGGGTTATTTCCTAGAACTTATAGAGTTCAAGAGAACTTCACTCTTTGCATTACAGAATGACCTCATTTCACTATGTGTTTGTTGAAATATCACATATACTAACACTTTAGTATCGAACCTTATATTACTGAGTGTTGATTATGTGATTTTTTCTTCCTTCTATGGTTAACCTTGCACCAGTGGGGGATTTTTTTTGTAATGCAAGGCCACTTGTGTGGAATTGCTCTCTCTCACTAAATATTCAATTTCTTATTAATACTCCGTATTTGAGTATTGCTTGGCCAAATATTTTTGGGGGTTAATCCTTTTAAGTGGATAAATTCAAATAATGGGATCCTAATATTTTGGCTATACAGCACTCTTTTGCATCTCTATCGTGGAGTTGGAACATCCACAACCTCCCGTTCCATTAAATCTTATCGTTTACGGAGAGAAACAGTGATCTCTTTAGTGTAATTCTTCTTCTTAGCCGCATAAATCCATATATACCCAATCAAGTTCAACTGTAAACTATTATCTTCCTCTTTGTTGGGAAAATAATATGTGCAGTTTCTTTCATCTTCTTTGGGTGCGCATAGAGGTTGGTTTCCGTGTTAACCTTGGAGGAAAACACCTTGTGTCAACTGCATTGGTGAGCGCAAAATTATTTCAAAAGTGGTGGCATTATTACCACAACATGAGGATTTTTTCTTCCTTCAGCAGTGCTGTTAGAAGAAGCGGCAGCACTATTTGAAAAAGTAGCAGCCTTTCCAATTTGCACAATTAAATAAAAAAAACATGGCAAATTAGAAGCTTGAATACTATTTCACTATTCTCAGGAAGAAGCTTTATCAACGAATTGCAGGTTCTTTCAAATTTGAAGTTGCAGCTGTTATTTTTTATAGTCTTGGAGTAAGAGCCACACCAATTAATTTTCACAAGAGGATATTATAATAGAGTAGGAGTTTCAATACCTCTGTTCTTGTTGCTCGGTAGGCTGAACCCCCGGTCTTCTCAACAAAAAAAGTGCCTCTCGACAAGCCATCATTTAAGTAAATAACAGATCAAAAGAACACTACAACAACGCTAGACACATTTGGTCTGATAACTATTTAAATCTTTAATCTAGATCACCTAAAATATCTTGTAGATTAGTTTTGCAATTAAATCTATAAAAATTCTTGAAAATTGAAAAGTAACATTAGATATTTGGTATGAAAAAATAACATGTTTAAAAATTGGTCTTTTCCCTTGTTATGAGTGGTAGGAAACCCGCTCTCCAAGATTCACGGGGGAGCACATCTGGGTTTTAGTCCTAGCGAAGGTGGAGGCATTGGTTAGCTATGCTTCATTACATTGAGAAGATATGATAAAATACTACATTATAATCGAGTCAATGACACTAAAAATATTTAAGATTCACTAATAATAACAAATGTTTTTAAAATTGAAAACGCAGTAACCCACAACCCTCCATAAGCATTTACAATGAAATATTTTAATGGTTTATGATTACTATTATATTTTTATTAGTTGTACAATGTTTAGTAGCAAAACATATATATATATATATATATATATTAAAGTTTCAGAAAAGGCTTACATTAGTTTTTTAACACCGTTTACATTAGTTTATTCAACAGTTTTATTCTTTATATGTATTATTTAAAGAAAAATCGCTTCTCATACAAGCATGGGCATGAATCTAATTTATGTAAAAGAGAAAAAACTTATATGAACAATTCGATTCTTACTTTTAGAGGATATGAGGAAATGTATAGAGTGTCTTTTAGGGTTTAAATGAATGACTAGGGTTTTGGGGCAAATGACCTAGCTAATAAGAACATTGGAGCTAATAAATGCATGATTTATTTCTTTTTTTTGAAATCACAAGTATAATTTGACAATGTCATAGATACAATATGGTGTGACAAATCCAATTCTTTGTTGTCATCCATATAAGAAAAACAATATCAAATAATAATGTTGTATAGAATTTCATTCCAAATATCAGGAACTCCAGCGAGACACCAATGGCTACAATCCATTCCAGTTAACCCATAGATTGAAGGGTGGCCATCTTTTCGCAGCAACGATAAGTTTGTAACATCAAGCAATGTAACTGGCTTTTGTATTTTTCCTAGCACCTTCTTCAGCACTGTTAACGCAGGCGGCAAAGCCCCAGGATATTTGGATCCACTTAGTGGTTCTTTCTGCCCTATGCAACTATTGGCGCCCGATTCATCCCAGTCTGTGCCACTGCCAGCCAACATATACTGTTAGAGTATAAAAACATTTCTACGCATACAACCATAGCTTAAACTTTTGGTTAATTTGATTTTTTGATATGGTATCAGAGTCTCGTTGATCAACATGTCACGAGTTCAAAATTCATCGACACCCAGTTTTAAAAATTAAACTTCACACATGAGGGGGAGTGTTAGAATATAAAACCTTTCCTAAAACTACAACCACAAGTTTAAGCTTATTAGCCTAAGGGAGAGGGAAGAATAAGTTATTAGGGAGTGGCTAATAGTTACTTGTAATGCGATGGGGAAATTCCTTGGAAAAAAACCATTGTTTTTGAAGGATTGATGTTTTCATCCACCCAATTGGCCCATGTGTTCAATGCCTTCTCAAAAGCAACCATGCGATCCATGTCTCGATAATAATGGTCTCCAACTTTTATGTAATCCCACCTAAAAATAGAACATCAAAATATGTTATCACTATACATCAAAAAATATGCAAGCCAGAAAAGTGTTTGTAACACACGGCTGAGAAATTCCTCTGCGGTTCCACCAATGCCATGTGTTGAAGATGAGCATATCAATTCCAGACCATATCTTCCCTCCCTCAATGGAGTCCAATTTCAAGATTCTACCCTTCTCTTCTCTCACTACATCCACCAAATAAACTGTGCGGTCCAACATCACTTTCACATCGTACTCCTACAAAATAATACTACAAAGTTAACGAGATATGCGTCTACATAATAAAAATTTACATAGAAGTTGACAAAAACTATTATAAATATCTCTGCAAAAATATTTCAAAGTATTTTTAATTGATTGGGAGATTTTTTGTAATTGAGTTTTATTGTAAATATTGTAATTGAAACATTGTAGTAACTCTAGGAGCCCAGAAAAGAAAAGGAGGCCTAGATGATGAACACAAAGGGCTTCATAAACTTGAATACATTTGAGTTTCTATTTGATTCCAATACTAATCTCAAAATGTCAATCCAAATTGTTAAGCGTATTACCCCAATGAACAAAAAGAAAACCAATCTAGTCACTAATATATTCTAATCCATAAAAAACCTAACCTCTCCTTTTGGTAATCAAATAAAAGAAAAAAGTCTCCCTGCCCCATAGACACAAGTGTAGAATTTTGTCTATCACAAATAATAAGGACATTTACCAATTTCAGAGCTATTCTTTTCATTTTATTTTAGAAGTCTAGTGTATGAAATGTGAAATCAATATCATAGCAATTGTGATCAGTTGGTGAATTCTTGAGAAATTGAAGTTTACAATCTAGAATATACTATGTGTTAGTTCCATGATGTTGGCTAATCTTTTGGGAAAATAAGATCTCATATTTGTTAGGTGTTTTACTAGGTAGAAACCTCTATTTGTTAGGAGAGGTTTATTTTATTTAGACTTCTAGAGTTGCTACAGTTTTCAAGGTTGACACAGAAGATGCTACAGCATATCCCAAGGGGGAGTAAATTGCAAAAAAGGATGGAGCTCCAGCATAAAATTCATACGGGAAGCATGTGCATGGATCTTAATGGTAGATTTTATTTATTTTGCGCTTGTTATTGTTGTATGCTCTTAAAAGAACTTGGTATTACTTTTTTTTACCCTAAATGAGATGAACATATTTTGTGTCAAAAAGGGGGAGAAAAGGCTTAGTTCTTAAAAGATGCTTTAATCTTTTATGCGCATGGTGCACGATGTATTTTTCTAAAAAAGTTCCAAAGGGGGAGATTGTTAGTTCCATGACGTTGGCTAACCTATTGGCAAAATAAGATCTCATATTTGTTAGGTGTTTTACTAGGTACAAACATCTATTTGTTAGGATAAATTTATTTTATTTAGACTTCTAGAGTTGCTGCAGTTTTCGAGGTTGACATAGAAGATGCTACAACACGATGCTCGAGGACCACCTTGGTCATGTTACACCATACCCTAGCAAAAATAGTAGTTGTCTCTCATTAAAGTGTCACTTTTGTCTCTCCTTATTTAATATCTTGAAGTTAGTGTGTTAAATAAATTTATATAGCCATCCTAGCCACAAGCTCATTAAGTCCACATTTGACAAGACTGAAAAAGTTTTAGAGTTAGCGTTTAGAAAAGGCTATCTAACAACTGTATTTTCAAAGTTAATATAAACCATTAAATTTTTATCCAAAACACCGACGTCAATAAAAAACGTTGTTCTTAAAAAAGAACTAATTTTAGAGCCTTAAATGTTGGACTTTATATATTTTTAAAAAGAGTTGTGTTTTACACTTTTTCTCATAAAGAATACTTGTTTTCAATTAATTAATCTCAAACCATAGTTCAAAGCTATAAATATGTTTTCTACAATTAAAGTATTATTTTTTATGTAGAATGATAAAATATCCACTTGGATGAGCAATTGACAAAAATTGGGTGAAAATTGGATCACTTATGCACCAATTTGGGTAAAACGTGGACTCAAAGACACAATTGGACTAATTTGAATAAAAGATGGTCTGGAAATGCATCTAGGCCATCATTCATTCATTCCCCTAGGCTCAAAAACACACACACACACTCACTACTACAAAAGGAGAAAATTGACGGCCCCAGTTGCACCGGTTTCACTTAAAACGGATGCAATTGGGCAATAAGATTTCGATAACTGCATGTTTTTACATCGGTTAGTAGTAATAATGACACGTCATTTATTATACATGTCTTTTATGACACGTCTTTAATTATACATATTTGTATGATTGAATGTATGCTTGTATGATGATCGCTAGAGTATGTACACCGCACATACAATAGGTAAGACCATGTCAAAATCCCTCGTAATATTAAGTTTGTGCCTTCTGACGCCTACTCACTCGTCATTACTAGTTTCAACCAGTCAATGGGCACGCCAAAGCGAGACGCCTGGTTGACACTGGTATATGGCATGAAATCCGTAACAATGGATACTGAGTACGCCCCCGGTTGGACTTAACTAAGTTAAGGGAAAAGGATGAATGACTTATAGGCACATGGTTAGGTTAATAAACAAAATAAAAAATTATCTAACCTAGAGTTGTAAAATGTTACAATTGTAAATTAGTTTCTACCTAAAATAGTTTGACTATACGGCAAGATGCAAAACACAACTATAGTTAAATAAAATAAGGATCTAGGCCCAATACAAGATTTTGTTTAGAACAACCTAGCAAACCAAGGATTGTAATAGGATTGGAATTGGAAATAAAGTTCCTACCTAATTAGTTTAACTACAGGCAAGATGCAAAACACAACTATAGTTAAATGTAACATGGACCTTGGCCCCCTAAGATATCTAATCTCGAATTAACTTATTGCGTACTTGAGGGTAGTTGATTTGGTAAAATAGTGGGAGAGTTTTTAGTTAAAGACCTAGCTAATTACTTAGATTCTTGGTTATAACTCATAAGTCTATTTCGTTCTTATCATTTACATCATATTTTAAACGTTATTGCACGTAAATAGTATTTAATCATCTCATAAAATGTGACTTCAATGAATAAAACTCTCATTTTCATTCTAAAAGTCATAAATGTTGGAATGCATGAGTTCAACCCTTTCTGTGTTGTTAAGTGTTGACTCACAGGTTTTGATAATTGACAAACACAATTTATTCAAGTCAAGATCAAAGTGCTACAACGACAAACACAAAGACTTGAAGTGCCATTCCTTGAAGTATTCAAGAAGGTGCACAAGATTTTATTGGAGTCCGAGACGCGTGTGGAACGCCTAACAGAGGACTCGGAGGAGTAGAAGATTTCCGAAGACTTTTTATTTATTTGAGTCTTAGGAATTATTGTAAGGATGACAAAAATATCTTCTCACCAAAATTATTTTTATGAGAGTTAAAATAAAAATTATATTTATTTTTGGAGTCAGTTGAAAAATCTTTTTAACTGTTCAAAATAGTTTTATTGAGTCAGTTACAAAAGGTGTGCCAAACATTTATCAAATATTTATTTTGATATTATAAAATATTTTTGGTAAGCAAAAATATTTTATTCAAATATTTTTTGTGTACATCATTTGACACACAAAATAATTTTTGGACTCACTTTTACTCCCTTATTCAAATTCATTGAATAAGAGGAGGAGCGTTCTCTGATTCCCGCTGTCTCAAACAACGAGTGTTACGCCAATTCTGCTCTCCATCGCAACTGGCTTGGGCCCTTTGTGTTTTGCGCATTATTTCTTTTTGTAATCGATTATATTTCTCTGTTTAATCGATTAACCTTCGTTCGCATTCCATTAATCGATTATTCCTCTTGTTTTAATCGATTAGTCCTCTCAGAGCCTTCTAATCGATTAATCCCTTTGCATTAATCGATTATTTCCGCGTAGAAGGAACTCTGCGCAGACTGCATTAATCGATTATTGACACTGCATTAATCGATTATTATGCTGCATTTTTTCATCACAGCTTCTTTTCTTGGACCAACGGATATATTCCTTCAACCCCTTTATAAACCTCACTCCTTGGTCATTTTTACAATGAACAAGCACTCCTAAAATTCCCCAATCTTGAGGTTATAATCCTCCATTCATTTCTTCCTCAAATTGATATATTTTGAGAGAAAATTAAGTGTTTTCAAGAGAGTGTTCTTGTCATCCAGAGAGCTTAATCTTTTCTCATTTCTACTCTTGTGAGAGTTATTGCTGAGAGGTTGAAGAAGATTGTTCTTCTTGCTGTTCAAGGCTTATGTGATTTAAGTCGTGGTCGTTGAAGTCTTGTAGAGGGCATATCTACGAGCGGTTGTGTCGAGGCTTGTGGGATTCAAGTTCTCGAGTTGTAAACGGTTTGTTAAGCACCCGTAAGCTTAACGAAAGTAGTGGTAGCTTCGAGAGAGTCTCTCGGGGAACTGGACTAGCCACGAGGTGGTGAACCAGTATACATCGGTGTGTTCTTTGCCTTCTCTCTTTTATTTCCGCTGCACTTACGTTTATATTATTAATCCTGCGAAAATCGGTAAACATTCTCAACAACTCTATTCACCCCCCCTCTAGAGTTGCACACATTTGTCTAACAATAAAAAGGGATTCGCGATGTAATCATCATAAATCATCCATTTTATATTCAAATACTTGAGAAAAGGAGAAAAAATCATCAAGGGATCAAGATTCGGGCTTAAACGAACTTCCAGGAGGTCAAAATTAGTGTTTGGGAGCAAAATGGATCAATTCGAGGCAAAACTAGGCCCAAAGTTGCGAAGGATCATGAAGGAGGCGAGAAGCACTGGATTCGGGTCCTGGGCGTCCAAAGTTGGATGCTCGCGGAGGTTGGACACCCATGCTACCTGGTGACACGGTAATTCCACGAGGTAAGCACTGAATGGACCGAACACGTATTAAGGGTACGGGCGTCCAAAGTTGGACACCTAGAGGGTTGGACGCCCGCACTTTCTGCCCTATAAATATCACGCGATGTGAACCATTCTATGCACCATTCTCAACCCAATTTCAGGTTCTACTCTCTCAATACTTTGTATATTAGTTTTAATAGTAGTTTGAAGTAATTTTGGAGCGTTTGACTCCAGATCTGTTCTTTTCCGCTCAATTGGAGTTCCGTAAGTTTTCTTGTTTAATAAAATGATGTTTTAATTTATGTTTGGATAGAATGAGTTAGGGTTTGGACCCCTGGGTCCGGACTAGTTTGGCTGTATACTTTGAATGTTAAATTAATGTTG